CCCCGTCCCCTCCCACCCCCCCCCCCCCCCCCCCCCCCCCGCGCAGATCAAGCGCACCGAGGGCGTGAGCACCACCGACATCGTGGGGCGCATGCTGATGTGCAGCCGCGACAACGCGCGCTTCTCGCAGGCGGACAAGGAGCGGCTGACGCTCGAGTTCAGCATGGGCAACGGAGACACGGGTGGGGCGGGTGGGGGTGGCGTGCGCCCTGCGGCGGGGTGCTCTTGTGGTGACGGCGTGTGGCCGTGACGGGCCTTGGGTGTGCTGTGCATGCTGCGCTCGCCTGGTTGCCTCCCATCGGTCTGCCTCCCCTCCTGCCTGCCCCCCTCCGCCACTCGCTCCCTCCCCACCTGCTGCCCGCTCACCTCCCTCCCTCCCTCCCTCTTTCGCCCGCAGACAGCGACTCGGCCGACGGCGAGGCCGACGGCGAGACACCGCGCCGCTCCGCGTCCACCTCGCGCCACGTCACCGTGTCGCGCTTCATGCCCACCTCCCGCCGCATCGTGCAGGTGCCGCTGGTGCTGGTGCTGGTGCTGCCTGCTGCAGCTGCAGCTGCGCCCGTGCAGCCGCTGTGCTTGTGCGGCGCTCTTGTGTTTGGCCGGCTGCCGTGCGTAGCGTCCGTGACGCGCCACGCAGCTCGAGCGGGGTAGCCGCCCGCGGCGGTGCGGCGTTTGGGGCCGGGCTGGGCCGCCGCCCGTCATGCCCAGTGCTGCGCCCAGTGCGCCTGGGCCAGTCTGCCTGGGCCCTGCCTGCCGATCCGCCCATGCTCACCTGCCCCTCTGCCTGCCCACCTGCCCGCCCGCCCTGCCCGCTGCGCACCCCTGCAGTTCTCCAGCGGCAAGAGCGCGCCGCTGGGCGCGCGCATCGTGTACATCGACGGCGCCTTTGACCTGTTCCATGTGGGGCACGTTGAGATCCTGAAGGTGATCCCACGCTTTCCACACCACGCGGGGCGAGCGTAAACCACCCTGGGGCGCGTGCCCTGTGTTTTGCAGCCGCTGCGGAGGCGGACAGGGCTGCGCAAAAGGGCGCGGCGTGCCAGGGCTCGGCGACCTAGCGCCAGCAGCCCGCGCCTGCGCTGCGCCCCTTTCTGGCTCCACCAGCATGTACCGGAACCGCACGCCGCGCCGCGCGCCTGCCCCGAGCGCAGAAGGCCAAGCAGGCGGGCGACTTCCTGCTGGTGGGGGTGCACACGGATGAGGATGTGTGCGAGCGGCGGGGCCCGCACCTGCCCATCATGACCCTGCACGAGCGCGCGCTGAGCGTGCTGAGCTGCCGATACGTGGACGAGGTGGTCATAGGTGGGTGGCGGGGCGGGCCCAGGGGGAGGGGAGGGGAGGTGGGCCGGACAGGAGAGGGCGGCTGGGGGCCGCTGCTTCCAGAGCTGGATTGGCGGGCCTGGTGGAGGGTGCGTCGTGGTGGTGCCCCAGGGTGGTTGGCTGCCGCCGGGGGTCCCGATGGGCTGCGCAGCACATCCGAAGCCTGCACGTCAGCAGCCTGCAGCGCCGCATGCACCGCCGCGTTCACAGTGTGTGCGTACCGCATTGTGCCGCCCTGTACCGTACCGCAGGCGCACCCATGGAGATTGCCGAGGACCTGCTGACCACCTTCAACATCTCGCTGGTGGTCACCGGTACCGTGCACGAGACGTGCAGCCGCGACAGCGAGCGGCAGCGGTACGCGGTACCGCAGGAGCGCGGCATCTTCCAGTGAGTGCGCCGCTGCAAGCTGGGGCGCTCCGGGGTCGTCTGGCGCGGCGTGCACCAGGAGGCAGGCCGGGAGGCCTGGGGCAGGCGCAGTGAGCGACCCGCGTGTGCGGGTGCACTGCGCCTTGCCGCTGGCCAGGCACCGTCTCGTCTATTCCCGCGCATCCCCCCCTCCCCCTCCCCTCCCCTGCTCTGCTCCGTGCCGCTCCTCTCTCCTCGCCCTTCCCACCATGCTGCTGCCCTGATGTGTGTGTGTGTCCGCCCCCGGCCCGCAGGCGGCTGGACTCTCCCGACACGATGACCTCAGCTAAGCTCATCGAGCGCATCATGGCCAACCGGGCGCTGTTCGAGGCGCGGCAGGCCAGGAAGGTGAAGAGCGAGGGGGAGTACTACAAGACCAGCAAGCAGTACCTGCAGGAGATCTGAGGCGGTAGCGCAGGCACCGGCGATCGCCGCTGCCTGCCGCAGCACCCGCTCGCCCCGGCGGCGGGGATGGCGGCGCGTGCTGGGAAAAACGGCCCACACGCAATGCAGAACCTGATTTTGAACCGGCTCTTTTTTGTCCTCTGCGTGTTTTGACCCATCTGACACAAATCCTCCGCTATGCCTGTCCACATTTGTTCGCGTCTCCCGCCTCGGTTCCCTGGGGCTAGCTCCTTGCTCCCAAGCTGCCGCTTCTTCCAGCGTGCTGCGGCGGAGTCCGCCCGCCACGCCCGCCCAATTTTGCTTCCGTAGTATTTGACTCAGCGTGCTAGCACTCACTCCCCCCGTCCTCTTCCTGTTTCCGGGCTATCCAAAATGAGCGACCCCACATTTAACTGTGCCTCAGCCGGAGAGGGTGCAGGGTCTGCGGGTGACGGTGCCGCCGGGGGAGCGGCGCGGCTATCAACGTGTACCCGTCCAATTGGGGTGAAGGCGCAGCTGGCTGGCATGCCTGTGGTGTCAACAAGCAGTGCCGCATCAGCAGCAGCCTTCGATGAGCACCTGCAAGCCAGGGGCAGCAACCAACCAGAGGGGCGGCCCGCCGCCGCTGGCAGCGCCGCTGCTTCACCCCTCTTCCCATCCTCCGCCATGCCGATGTGGGTAGCTTCGATCACTGGGAGGCCATCACAGCTAGCAAATGCGGGGATGGGAGGCAGTGGGCATGGAGGAAGCCTTCCCAATCCCTGGCCACGTTGGCCGCAGGCCCTCAGAACAGTGGGCCCGGGCACTCCGCCTCCCCATCGGAACTCGGGCGACTGCACTGGGCCTCTCGCCGCTCCTAGCGCCCTCCCGACACCCGCAGCGGACCATGTCTGCGGCGGCCTCCACGCTCCTGGCAGCCTCCTGCAGCCGTCCCAGCCCCTGCAGCAGCCTCAGGAAGCAGCCCGCAGGCCTTGGACGCGCCAATGCCCGTCCCCAGCAGCTGCGGGCGGGGCGATCAATCGCTTCCAGGCGCCCTTTGAGCGTTGTGGTGCGCGCAAAGGGCAAGGCGGGCGACCCGCCGGATGTTCCGAAGCCCCGGGACCAGCGCCAGGGCGGCAGGGAGTGGCTGCAGTCCATTCTGTCACGCTTCGGGCCAGTCAAGGAGAAGGCGTCCAACACGACCGTGCTGGACTTTGAGAAGCCGCTTGTGGAGCTGGACAACCGCATCAGGGAGGTGAGCGGGGCAGGGGCCGCTCCGCGGAGCCCTACCACACATGCCGCCGCCGCCGCCCACCCGCTCGCCGCCGCCGCTGCGTCGACTCGTGCGTGCTGGCCTGCTTGCGCGGGCCCTGCTGATGCGCGGTGCAGGTGCGGCAAGTAGCGGAGGAGAATGGAGTGGATGTCAGCAACCAGATCAAGGAGCTGGAGGAGCGGGCCAAGCAGGTGGGTGTGGGCACGTGCTGGGTGGAGGCTGGGGTGAGAAGTGCCGCGGTTGTTGGCGCGCCAGCAGCGCTGGCCGCGGCAGTTGCGGGTGCCGCGTCCGGGGGGCGCTAGACCGTCTAAATGCTTGGCCCGCGAGGCTGAGGGGGGGAGAGTGCAGCGGCTGCCTGGGGGCCTCGTGCATGCGCCCTGCCCATGTGGTGTGCTGCTACCATGCGCCATCGGGCGGGACCGCACTTCAGGGGCACCAGACCAGCTCGCCCGCCCGCTGCCCGCGTGCTGCGCGAGCATCGTAGTGCGCCGACAGCTTGCGGCTGGGCCCCTCCACGCCCGCCTGCGCCTGCCGCCTGCCGCCCACCTCTGCTGCCTCTGCTGCCCGTCCCATTCCTGCCTGCCTGCCTGCCTGCCTGCCTGCCTGCCTGCCTGCCTGCGCCTGATCATCTGCTGCCTGCCTGCTGCGGCCGCGCACCCCTCCTGCCCGCCCGCAGCTGCGCAAGGACACGTACAACCGGCTGACGCCCATCCAGAGGCTGCAAGTGGCGCGCCACCCCAACCGCCCCACCTTCCTGGACATCGCCCTCAACATCTCCGAGAAGGTGGGGCCACACCTGCTGCTGCTGCTGCTGCCTTTCCTGGCTCCTGTGGTCCGGCCTGCGCCAGCGGCTGCTGCCTCGCAGCAGGGCTGCGTGCCTTCGCATGCCTTGGCGCTCGGCAGATGCGTGTGCTGTCGCGCGCTTGCTCCCCCCCGGCTGTGCGCACGCTCACCAGCGGGCGGCGGGATGCAACGCTGGGGGAGCGGGCTGGCGCCAGCAGCGGTTCAGCCCCTGCGGGCGGGCCTGCGCCTTGGGGGCAGCCCTCGGCGCAGCTCGCGGCGCGGCTGCAGAGCCTCGCCTCGAATGGGGGACCGCACCACCCGCGAGGGCAGCTCCAAGCCTCGCCCTGGGGAGCGCGCCAGCATGAGGGCTGGCCCCCACGCCGAGCCTCTCTGCCTCTCTGCCGCTCGCCTCGCCGCCCGTCTGCCGCTGTGCCCAGCCTCTCCCGAGCCTCTCCCCTGCCCCGCCCCTGCCCCCGCCCTGCCCCCGCCCTGCCCCCCCAGTTTGTGGAGTTGCACGGCGACCGCGGCGGGCTGGACGACCCTGCCATGGTGTGCGGGCTGGCCTCCATGGACGGAATCTCCTTCATGTTCATCGGCCACCAGAAGGGGCGCAACACCAAGGTGAGGGCTGCTGGCGGCGGGACGGGCGGCAGGGCCGGCGGGGGCTGGGGCGCCTCCCCTGGGCCGCCATCCTGTCGCCTCGCTGTCAGCTGCAGCCGGGCGTCTGCCCTGGGGCTGGCGCAGCGGCGGGGTGGGAGGCGGAGGAGCGGGGGGTGCTCCCACTGCAGACCATGCACATGCACTCGCGCACACGCGCACACACGCACACGCAGCCGTGCCTCAACTGTCAACTGCTGCCGCTCTGTGCGCCCGCCTCTCCCCTCCTTTCTTCCTTTCTTGCTTCCCCTCCGCAGGAGAACATCTACCGCAACTTTGGCATGCCGCAGCCCAACGGGTACCGCAAGGCGCTGCGCTTCATGCGCCACGCCGACAAGTTTGGCTTCCCCATCGTCACCTTTGTCGACACCCCGGGCGCGTACGCCGGCAAAGCGGCTGAGGAGCTGGGACAGGTGCGCGGCAGGGGCACCGGGGGGCGCTCCTGACTCTAGGGGGGGAGCCCCAGGGGGAGCTCGCCTGTGGCAGACGGTGTTGGTCTCATTGGCGTGGGCGGCCCCGCGGCGGTGCGGCGGCGGCGGCGGCAGCGGCGGTGTGGAGGAAAGGCGTGGGGAGCTGCGCGGGGGGGGGGAGGGGTGGCGGGGCAGGCAGCCGCCCGTGCCTGCCAGCCTGCCGTCCGCCGCGGCCCTCCCTCCTGCGGTCCTGCCTGCCTGCCTCCTTGCCTGCCGGCCTGCCTCGCCGCCGCCGTCCCTCGCTCACGCGCCGCCCCCTGCCTGCCCTGCCTCCTGCCTCCTCCGCAGGGCGAGGCGATCGCAGTGAACCTGCGGGAGATGTTTGGGTTCAGGGTGCCCATCATTTCTGTGGTGATTGGCGAGGGCGGCTCCGGCGGCGCGCTGGCCATCGGCTGCGCCAACAAGTGAGCGCGCACGCGGGCCCGCCCGGCGCCCTCTGCGGTTCGCTTTCTGCTGTGTGCTGGCCGTCAGCATGTACTCTGCGCTGCGCCGCGGCCCGTGGCCGCCTGGCTGGCTGTGTGGGTGCGGTGCGCGGCGCAGGGGAGGCGTCCCCGGCGCAGCCGGCGCCTGCGCCGGCGCCTCTGGCCGCCCGCGCTCCCCAACGCCGCCCAAGCAGCCTCCCTGCTTCCCTCCGCTGCTTCCCCCTTTCTTCTCCCTCTTCCTTTCCCCATCCTGCCCTCATGCTTTCCTCCAACTTTCTCACGTTCTTTCCTCCCCCGTTCTCCCCGCTTTCCTCCCCACAGGAACCTCATCATGGAGAACAGCGTCTACTATGTGGCCTCCCCCGAGGCCTGCGCAGCCATCCTGTGGAAGAGCCGCGACAAGGCGGGCACGGTGCGTGGGGGTGGGGTGGGGCGGGGCGGGGCGGGGTGGGGCGGCGGGCTTGGGTTGGCTGGGTGTGCTGGCTGGGGAAGAAGCGGGAAGGGCTGCTTTCTGCTGCTAGGCTGCGGGGCGGGGGCCGGTGGGGCCTGCGCGGCGGCTGGCGGCCCCCGCTCCTGCCCCGGCTCGAGCCCTCCCACCTCCTCCCTCCCGCCTCCCACCTCCTCCCTGCTCCTCCCGCCTCCTCCCACACCCCCCACACCCACCCCACACCCACCCAGGCCACCGAAGCGCTCCGCATCACACCCGACGACCTCGTGCGCTTTGGCGTGATGGACGAGAAGATCCCGGAGCCGCTGGGCGCGGCCCACACCGACCCCATGTCCGCCTTCCCCGCCATCAAGGAGGGCATCATGCGCCACTACCGCAGGTGCGTGTGCGTGTGTGTGTGTGTGGTG